GAGGCAAATTGCTTTCTTTTGAAGAAGAAACACACTGCATAATTGCATAAAACTGGTTTGAGCATTCTAGTTTCTTCTTTTCAATTCTTTACATTCTTTTTGTATTGTTTGGTGCATGGAATTGTGGGCACTGGTTTCTCTACAGCTGGAATTTGGTTGTAGAGGTTGTCAAGAACTGGAATTTGGTTCTTGGTAAAAGGTTAGGTGCAGGAACTGGAATTGTGGTTCTTGTGATAGATTAAGTGTAAGATTGTAATCTGTAAAACATTTGATCTAGTGGAACCTAGCTGGAATTTGGCTGGAGACTGGACGTAGCCCTGGTATTGGGTGAACCAGTATAAACACCGGTGATATCTTTCTAAACCTTTCTCCTCTTTTAATTTTGTTGTTGCGTTTATTGTTGTTTGATTGTTTTGTGATTCAAGAACAGATTTGAAATCTTATTTTTACAAATAGATAATCTGTTATTTGCGAAAATCTTTCAAAGATCAATTCACCCCCCCTCTTGATCTAAAACTACTTTTCTAACAAGAAGTTCTTTCTTGAGGCAAAATTGCATTCTTTTGGAGAAGAAACACATACTGTAGAGCTGCATAAATCTGGTTTGAGCGTTCTAAGTTTCTTCTACTTGGTTCTTTACTTTCTTTACTGTATTGTGGGTGTTTGGAATTGTGGGCACTGGTTTCTATAGCTGGAATTTGGCTGCAGGGTTGATCAAGAACTAGAATTTGATTCTTGGTGAAGGTTTAGGTGCAGGAACTGGAATTGTGGTTCTTGTGGTAGATTGAGTGTGAGATTAAAGTTGTAATCTATAAAACGTTCAATCTAGTGGAACCTAGCTGGAATTTGGCTGGAGACTGGACGTAGCCCTGGGATTGGGTGAACCAGTATAAACCTTGGTTGTATCTTTCTAAACCTTTCTCTCTTATTCTTGTCACTGCATTTACTTTTGATTGCTTGCTGTGTGTGATTCAAGAACTGGTCTGGAATCTTAATCTTTGAAATAGATAATCTATAATTTGCAAAAATCTTTCAAAGATCAATTCACCCCCCCCTTTTGATCTCAGCCTACATTTCTAACATAACCTTCCCAGATGTTGTTTTCGCTTGTCTAGGTAAAAATATTTTATGATTGTTCAGCACGTAGCACGACATCATCATTCATATACATTACAGTAATGGAAAATCATCTTCTTCTTCATCAGTAAAATATTAACAATATCTTGAATAACAAGATCATTAACTGCCATGGACGAGGTATCAACTTGAAATTTGTCCATCTAATTAAAAAATAAAACTAATTAGAAAATTTACTTAAATAATTTGTAAAATTTAATAAAATAAGTAAATAAGGTGAAAAACTGAAACCCACACCTTTCATTTTCCAATCGGAGAAGTCACACACTACAAGAATTTTAATATTACCGACGATCAAAATTCATCGGTAATTATCGACGGATATATCCGTCGCTAAATGTTTTATGAAATTACCGACTGACGATGAATCCGTCAGTAATATTTTTATTATTTATTAAATATTTTACTTATATAGCTTATTTATTTTATAGAAATATCCTTCCCTCCTTCCCTTTATATTATTATTATTTATTATTAATTATTTTCCCCTACTACATTTTTAAATAAATTAAGAGAATTGTTATTGGCAGTGATTCGAACCCAAGTACCTTAGAGTTAGAGGTCGATACTCCAACCACTAAGCTACCAGAGTTTTTTGATAATAATTTACAAATAAATTATATTTATATATTTATATATTATATATTTATATATTTATATTTTATATATTTTTATATTTTTATATATTTATATATAATTAAATATTTTTATATATTTATATATAATTAAATATTTATTTTTTAAAATTATTTAATTTAAGAAATTATTATAAATTAATCTAATTATGATTAAATTAAATTATTAAATAAAAAATATTTAATTTTTTAATTAGGTGAATATTTACTAATTGTTAATTTACCGACGGAAATATCCGTCGGTAATTTACAGATTAATTTATCGATGGATATATCTGTCGATAAATTCATCTGTAAATTACCGACAGATTTACCGATGGATATATCAGTCGGTAAATTCATCTATAAAGTACCAATGGATTTATCGACGGATATATCCGTCGGTAACTAATTATTATTTTACCGACGGATATATCCGTCGGTAAAATCAAATTCCACAAATATTTTATATCCGTCGGTAATAATTATTTTCCGACGGATTTAAATCCGTCGGTAAATATCCATCAGTAATACGCGATTTTCTTGTAGTGATAGTTACATTAGAAGATGTATCCTTACAATTATGTCTGCCCATTGATGGACTGCCAATTACAGGTCTCAGTAATGGAGATTTGACCGTCTTTTGCAAATAATTATTAGGTTCACCCCCACTGCAAGGTGTTGCTACAGAGAACACAATAAAATTGTCTTAGTTAAACACTTCGTTTCAACACCTTCCAGATGATGCAGACGATAACATTGTCTCACAACATGTCAGGGTACACATACTGATAATAATAGGGAGTTTATTATTGCTAGATATTTCAGCATCTAGAGTGCATTTAAGGTATCTCCTATTATTGTAGGACCTAATTCTAGTTTCAAACTATAGTTGGGGATCAGCTGTTTTGGCATGTTTGTATAGAGCGTTGGATCATGACGTTGACTACCATCAAGAGAACATTGGAGGTGTTGGGTACCATAGGGGAAAATAAATCTTTACCTGCAGAAGCACACATACGAGAGAAACAAATATAGAGAAACAAACTTAAAAATTAGTGTGGTTTGACACTTCTTGCCTACATCCACTAACATACTCAACAACTCTTCATTTCTCAACTTACAATTTTTACAAGGACAAAATTGAAAACCCTCTCATACAATTTTTGCATGGAAAAATTGCAAACCCTCTCTTGACACACAACTACCCAAGTGCCCAATACACCTAAAGACTAGTGTTGTTGTGGTGAGTAGACCCAAACTATCACTCCTTATTTATAGTAGTAGTCTACCACTCTCTTCTTCAAACTACCCGATGTGGGACTTTGGAGGATACCCACACACTTTGCTCACAACAAGAGGATGCATGTTATTGCTCCAAGTTTGGACATGGGACCATATTACATGCATCTATCCTAAGGTAGAACGTTTAACTAATGAGGAGATTGTTGCAGGGTATGGTTTCCCATTGGCTAAAAGGTATTCAAATTTATTTTATATTGTTTTATTCCATTTCTTTCTTTAATAGTATTTTATTTTATAATAGTATATTTTTTGTATGCAATAGGTGGTCATGACCAGGTCAAAGGTCCAACGTGATTACATATATTGTACATATATTACGTCTAATATTTGATCAATTAAAAACAAAGGAGGTATTTCATTATGTATTACGTCTAATATTTGATCAATTAAAAACAAAGGAGGTATTTCATTTAATACAACTTTCAGTATGTATTTCTTAAATGATAATAATTCTAATTTTACAAGTTCTATAAAATAATACAATTTTTGTGGACTTCTTATCATCGTGTTGGGTTACAACGACTAATAAATGTTGAGGTTTCTCCTATGAGTCGTGCTATAGTTCTAATAATATGTTTTGCTACTATTGAGCCTCTTCCAACATATCAGGTTATGAGGCAATTTGGACTTCGCCAACCAAATCCAAAAGACCCGATCAATCTTTACAAGCTTCACAGAGAAGACATGAGAGATAAAACTGATAGATTTTGGCCTCAATTTGGATTTCAACATACTATCAAATATATTTCCTCTACCCAAGAAAAAGATTCAGATAAAGAAGTAAGTATATCAATAATTTTATTTTACATATATAACATTTATATCAAACTAATATTGATTTTATATTTTATCGAGTACGATACGTAACAGTAGGAACAACCCTAATATATTAGCGAACCTAGTCATGCTCATGCTAGTCAGTCGAGTCATGTCCATGTTGGTCAGTCGAGTCATTAACATGTTGGTCAGTCGAGTGATAACAACCTTATCCATATTATGGATATGTCTGCGCAATTTTAATTTGGAGGACAAGTTCCTCATACATTTACTTTGTTTCCATCTGTAACAAACATGTTTTCCACCTCTTCCATGACACCACCATTAACATACAATCAAGCACCTTTCGTGACTATTATGTCTAATATGTCTCCTGTGCAGTATGCAAATGAAGAGGATAATGATGATAGGTAAGCAAACATTCAACCTCAACCATCACAGAGTTGTAGGCATGCTATACAACCACAACAAATGTCTATTCAAGACCAACTATGTAGACCAATATGACAAATAAGAAGACCACCTAGTAGGACGAGGTCTAATCATTAATTTTTTCGTAATAATAATAATAATAAGGATATATATATATATATATATATATATATATATATATATATATATATATATATATATATGTGTGTGTGTGTGTGTGTGTAATATTTTAATATAAATATAGTGAATTAAATTTAACCATGATTGTTTAAATATTTTTATTTTTTATTAAATTATAATAATTTAATTAAAAATAATTATTTAATAAATAATATATTTTAAAAAATAAACAAATCATATTTTTCTAAAAAATAAGAATGAGAGTACGATTTTGGTTTAAAAAATGAGGAACTCGTACTTGAAAACACATTTTTCTTAAAAAAAAATTAAAATCATGTTTAGAGCAAGATTTTAATTAAAATCGTGTTTCAAATCACGATTTTAATGGCAAAATTATGCTTCTAAATATGATTTAATCCTTATGGGGAAAATTGAAAATCTTTAGGCCCCTTTTAATAAAATTAAAGTTTCCTTCACCCGGTAATATCCACTTGCTAAACGCAAATTTTCAAATCAACCTTACCCAAATATAACTTTTGTTGAACAACAAAATGACTGCTTAAAGAAACACATAATAGTACATCAACAACAAAGTCAACACCACCATATCCACCATTATTGGTTAAGGTAGTCCCAAGTTAAGGGCTTAAACACATGAGCAGCCTCACTCTCTATGATCTCCAACTGTTTCTTTGCAAGGTGCATGTACACAACCCAATCACCATTCCCTAGAGGACTTGGCATTGGCATAACATAACCAGCTTCACCACCCCAAGGAAAATGGTAGGATGCAAACACAACCCTCCCCCACCCAAAATCCATCTTGTCCTCCGGGAATCTCTGTCCAGAGGACACTACAAAGGCAGGTCCTTCGTTGGCACGATTACAATAAATTCGTGACACTCCAGGGATCGGTCTCTTACTCTCCACCCAATCAATTAGCCCTAAGAAATGCTCCTCCGTGGCTGCCGCCGCTAAAAATTCATGAACAACCTCCACCACAAACCCTAACGGCTCATTCACCAACTCCTCCGCTAGTTTCCCTCCAAAGGGTATGGAAAGCACGTTCCCGAAGTAACACTCCATCATTGCTTCATTCTCTTTGTAACCATTGCCTAGTCTTTTCCTTCCATCAACCACAATGCCCATTTTGGCCACAACCCTTTTACTGTTTGTGTCTCTTGAAGCTGCACGTGCAACCATCTTCCACAAGAACGCGGAGAAACACTCGAGCTTTGTGCGCATGGCGGCGAGGGACTGCATGCGCTGGAGCTGCTCCGCCTTGACGTAGTATATGCGGCTGAGGAGAGCGGTTTCGGCGGATGTTGGAGGGGGAGGGAGGTCGGAGATCAAGGTGTACATGTGGTGTAGAGAAGGGTGGATGGAACCTGGACGGCGAGGGCTGAGGAGGGAACGACGAAAACATGGGTGGCAAGTGGTGGTTGCAAACATGGTGGTGGTGGGCCCAGTCTGGTGGGCCATTGCAGCCCATGAAACAAGGAACATGTTTGTTGAATATGCATCTGCTATGCGATGATCAAATGTGCATGCCACTATTATTCCACCACACTTCAGCGAAGTTGCCTGAGATGAAAAGATTTAAATCATGTTACCTTCAGAAAAAAAAAATTAAAATAATATATATATATATATATATATATATATATATATATATTTCATTTTTTTTAAATAAAGTAAAAAATATGAGAGAGAAAAATATAATACTTGACTAGTGCAGAAAAAGTGAATATATTTAAATAATAAAAAAATTATATTAAAATTATATTTTAAAATAAATAATATTAACACTTGTATTTGCACAATTAATAAGATAAAAAAGAAAGAGATAAAAAAAATTATAACATTAATTTTTTTAAAATAAATTGTATGTAAGTATGGTGTATTTGTATTGTATCTTATGTTTTTTTTTAATTACAAATGATGTTTTAGTAAGATTAATTAATAATTAAGAAATAATGTCACTGAAGAAGAGAAAATGATTTGATAAAATGATATATTTAATAGAAAGATTGGCAAAAACTACAGAGATAGCATGATTGTGGCTTGAATGTTTGGACAATAACCTTGGCTAATAACTTGTTTTTATAAAATATATATTTGTAAACGTCAACAGTTTCATTCCTATTACCATTAATTTTCTTATGCATTTTTAATTTATTTGGTACTTATACATTCTTCATAATGAATTATTAATTTAAAACAAAATTAAGAATGTGATACCATACAGATCAAATTAAGTATACTACATGCGTTACAACGTATGACGTAATAAGAGGTAAGAGTTAAGAGTTAAATTTAATAGGGATTAAACCAATCATATTTGCACAATTTAATATGTTTACATGTGTGAGAATCAGAATGAAATTATGACTTATATTTTGAACCTAAATTTAATAGGAGTTCATTGTAAATAAAGTGAGTTATTTATATTAAATAAGAATGTATTAAAAGAATAAGACTTTTAAAGTTATGGAAATGGATTATTTGAATTTAAATTAATCATTTCTAACTTTATTAATGAAACAATTTAAAATGTGCATTTAGATTGACTTTAATTAATGTTTGTGAATGATAAAAATTGTTTAACTGATTTTCATTAATGAATTAGAAATCATTATATGTATAATGTAGGATTTAAAAAGTATACATTATAAAGGTTAACAAATTTACCATTCCAAAATAATATATATATATATATATATATATATATATATATATATATATATATAATACTTATCTTAGCTTACTTAATTACACCTGCTTTCACGCATTGGAACATTTATTTCAACGAACAAATTACCATTAAGATTAATTTAAATAAACTCAATCATGTTTAATCATTATAATAAATTTTATTAATTTTAAAAAACAATTTAAAAAGTATCATGTCAAAATTTGAAGTAAACAATCACGTCCTCTGTTTGAAAAACTAAAATAAAAGAACGTCTCCGTACATGTGTTAAGTTGATTTATGTTGTCATATTCAGTGCTATTACTTATTCCAGTTGGCTAAGTTAGGTTTCTTGGTGTAGATGGATTTGACTTTACATAAAGATTCAATATGTAATGTAATTTTCACACAGAATAGGGTGGGAACAAAAGTTACGACACTAACATGGTAGGTTGAAAAATATAAAATATAAAATTATTGATATTATAGTATTTTTTAAATAATTTATTACTGCTTTTTTATTAGAAATTTTATTAATAAATTAAAAAAATCATTTATGTTATTTCATTTATTTTTATAAGAGTCTCTAAAAGAAACTGCTAACAAAAATTATTTAAAATTAAAATAAAATTATTTAAAATTAAAATAAAATTATTTATATAAATAATTTTGACCAATTTTTAAATAATTTATATATGGATTTATAATAAAATATTTATTTTTATTTGAGAATAACTTTTACTGATAATTTTCTTTGAAAATATTGATGAAACAATTTTACAAAATATTTAAACAATTTATTACATATTTCTCTAATGAAAAATTATTTAAATAATTCATAGTTAGTTAGGTATATAAATAATTACGTGAGAACATCAAAATTAAAAAGCATTATTAGTGAATTACGTACTTAAAGTTTCCGTTACCTGCGACGATAAATGCTTGACAATAACAACCCGTCAGATAGTAACTACTTCATTAAAGTGTATTAAGAGGTTTATAAATAACATTCTGGTATTAAATGTGTATTTACTTACCAAACCTGTTCCAATACTAATCATGTTTGTTCCAATTCCAATCTACTAACAATTCTTACATAAATATATTAATATTTAAATTATATACAATATTACAAAGATTTATTTAATACTCTTTATTATTTCCCATTTTAAAATATAACTCACATACTTAATATTAATTTTTATTATTTCTTCTCTCTAATAAGTATAATTAAAAGGCACGTATACAATTGATAAAAGAGTAATTAAAATAATTTTAAATTTTATGAATATCATATATTTTTAAACAAATTGTTTTACCTAAAATGTTATATGCTTTGAGACGAAGGAATATTTATTTATCTTTCTATCATCATTACATCATATCATATTGCTCATAATTTAAAAAATCAATGAGTAACAACCACATTTTAAGGGGCACCTAAATTTCATAAAGGAAAATAAATGTAAACATGATACAATATGTTAAGAAAATATAAAATGAAATAATGAACATTGATAGAGTTTAGAATAACCATCTTTCATACACTGTTAACACTTATCACTTATATATTTCTTCTACTTCAACATCTTTCTGTAGATGCAAAAAATTAATATTAGAGTGTTAACAACACCTTTATCTTGAATGAAATTCAATTTGGACTAATGTTTTTCTAACAGAAAATATTAACTAAAAAATATACACCATAAAGTTTTGACGGTAAACATATGAATTTGATGAAAGACAAAAACCAAAAGAAATTTCTACATTACATCTAGAAAGAACTAAAGAAAATCATTTATATGTATTATGAAAGGAATAAAGATAAAGATAAAATGAAGGATATCTATGGAGTATATTTCTATTTATTTAAGTGTTGAAATATTATGACCCTTCTAATGTTTCTTTTTTATCACCACAATACACACACACATCACATTATTGACGTATAATATCTAGTACCTGGACAGCAAGAACACCATTTTTCTTCTTTGGAACAAATTTCCCTTCAAAAGTTTCATCTGGGTTGTAAAAGTTGAGGTTCTTTAGTTCAACATCTGCCTCAGCTTCAAGAAAATCAACCCCACGATTGTTGCAAAGCACCTCCGGTTCACCTATGCTGTTGAGCACCACTTCACCTGCTAAAGCATAATAAGAGACTAGGGTTTGTGCCAAGGCCTTTTTCAAAGACCCCACCATTGATCCAAAGGACATTTTGTGGGTGTCACAATCCCCCAAGGTTGTGGATGTGAGCACTCTAGGGTTCTTGTAGCAAAAAAAGACTCCTACATCAAGTGGAGGTAGAAGGAGGTCAAGGTTGGAGAGTGGAAGCCAATGTTCTTGCATTGGTACCACTGCTGCCACCACCTCTTCATTGGTCACACTCACACTGAAATCTCCATCACCCATTTTTTTTTTTAGAATAAGATGTGATTTGATGTATAGTTTCTAAAGGTCTTATATGTATTTATAAGGTTAGTGGGATGGTATACATGACCTACAGATATATTTGATTATTGGAGTCAATGTTGGTTCATCTAGTCCAATTTTGTATTTTAATGAAAAAAAAACATATATAGATGTACTAGTTGTGAACGAATCCTCCAAAACTCTCTTTAAATGGGTTTCATGCTTTGTTGGAAACTTTAGTTCAATCATTGTGCAAAATATTCCCATATATTTTATTTAGAGATAGATTTTATATATGAAGATAGTATGGTCAAATAAAAAATAGTTTGAATGTAATTTTTGTTTAACGATTTTACCTTTCTTGAGATTAAATCTTGTATATGTAATACGATACAATATATAAACAAAAATGTGAAAAATTTAAAAATTATACGAGACATGCATAGGTGGTTATTTAGGATAGGATGGAAATCGGGTGAGCTCATCTTTGACATGCCAAAAAAATAGATTGGGTGACTAATATGTTATAATCATGATTGGTGGTAGATCTTGGTCCGGTCTGTCTCGTTAAAGGACGGGTTAACAACCGTCGTAATGTTTTAAAAAATTAATTTATTTTTTAAAAAATAAAATATTTTAATAAGTTTAATAATAAGATTTTATTTTATTTGTCAAGAATTCAATATATATAAATGAATGCATTGTTTTAAGAAATTATAAGTTAGAATAATAATAAAATTTATATAATAATAAATAATAACAAATATATATATATATATATATATATATATATATATAATGTCAAAACTTGTAAAATTTATATTTTTTTTATATTGAAAAATTAAAATATTTTTTTATTTAATAAAACTTTATATTGTCTCCCCTTGAGTAATTCTTATCCCTTTAATTCAATTAATAAGGATAAGAACAATAATGTCAGGATGAACAAGGAGGAGATGATGAGCAATAAAGAGAAGAGAGATGAACTTGTGTTTAGGTAAGGATAATGTGTTCCTATAATGAGTGAAGGTGAAATTTTTTTAATTCTCTTTTTTACAAATTTTCTTTATATATTATTTTTATGAATAACTGTATTATAATAAAAATAATTTTTTTATTAATTAGATGGGTCACGGCTGACCCGATGGGTTGGCGAGGTGGGCCAAAGCGGGCTAAAAACACCAACTCACCCAGCTATATTTATTGCGGGCTGACCCACCGAACCTGACTCGTTTTGTTATCCCTAGTTCAGGAGCATCGTATAGTTATTTGTTATCATTTATTATTTTTTTTATATATTGTTCCATTTAGGAACGAGAATGCTCCAGTTTATGATAATATTGGTAAGGTCGTTAGGGTCAATTCCTATGTTTACAATGATAACATCGTCATAATCAATTTCAACCTTCAAGGTATTGTCCGTTTTAGAATTCTTGTTTGTCACGATTTTATTTTTAAAAGACGTCTCAGTGCCTTAAGAGAGGTGATTGTATACAAATTATTCTTGATCTTAACTTTTAAACGATATCAAATTCATGAGTGATATAATTTTTGAAAATTTAAAATAAAATGACATCTTTTTATGTTAACACTTTATGTATCTAATAGATATGTAAAATATATAAAAGTTTAAAATTTTGAGATGTGAAAAAAAATAATAAAATTTCCACGTGATAATAATTAATTGATAAAATATGTAAGGAAGTTAATATAAAACAAAAGGTCTCCAAATTCATTGTTATTGAGGTCGTTAAAACTTATATAAGAGTTTGTAATTTTCGTAAGTTTATTTAAATATGAATACAAAATACTAGAAAGTTATATTAATAATCATTTACGTACTTTCTTTTTTCTCGGATAATTGATTTCACTTACTCCAATATCCAGCAACAGTTCCTGTTCATAGCCATGAGAACTTTGGAAACTTCACGTTCACGTACCTAAAACCCTAGCAAGTGGGTCCTCCTTCTTGTTTTGTAACATTTTTCTTCTCTTAGCTTATCCTCTTAAAGTTACGTCTCTTTCTGATTAGGGTTATGGCCAACTAATCGATTGTTGATTCCTCTACTCCAAACTACTCACTTAACCTCCATCTTCATGACGTGATTGATGCGTTTGACTTGTTCAAATGTTGTATTAAGTAAGTTGGTTGTTCACTAATCCAAGTGCATTCATAGCTAATAATCAACCATAACCGTGCTCTTTTACTTACAAAATAGGCTTTTCAAAAAATTGTAACACTATTAAATTTTTCATTTTATCAAAAAAAATTTCTTATTATAGATATCTAACTATAAGTGATTAAAATATTTAATAATATATTAAATATTGTTTAATTAAGATAATCTATAAAGTAATAATATGTTCTTAGGTTATCAAAATGAGCAGCTTGATCTAGTTGTAAGGATTAAATAAAAAAAAATTAATGGTTAAATTGATTTATGCTTTTAAATGGTTTATATTTTTTTTGCTTAATCTGCTTCTATATCAGACTAATAGGCTAATAAATCAATTTTATTTTAATTGAAAATTAAAAAAAAATTTATTAATATATTTATATTAGAACAATTAATTAAAAAAATTAAATAAAAATAAAAAATAAATTTTTTTAAAATATAAATTATATTAATAAAATTAATTTTTATTTTAAATATAATGATTTAATATATAAATTATAATAGAAAAAATTTGTTATCATCATTCATGTTTTAATACTTTATTAATTTAAAATAATAATTTATTTTAACCATTAAATCTTGTAATAAATAAATGTTAAAATTTTATTTTTATATTTATTTTTAAAATAAATGAATATATGATCAAATAATTTATAATAAATGTATATCTTTTAATAAAATATCATTTTTATTTTTATTTTAAAAACTATTATTATTTTATAAAATGGGTCCGTCATAATTGATGAGATAGTTTAAACTAAATTCAACTAAATCATAGTCTAAATAGGTCAGACCAAAATATGCTTAATTTAATTTAGGATATAAATTTTTTTGTCTAATATGACATATTTTTTTGAACCTTTTGAATTGATTTATCAGATTAAACCTATTTTAATACTCTATATATTTTTAATACATTAAGAGTCACTAGTGTATATATTGTTAATATATATATATATATATATATATATATATATATATATATATATTACAAAATATTGTCTCATGTTTACTTTGTAAATGTTAAATGTTAAGCTTAGTATCAATTTAAATTCATTTTTCAATAATGAAATATTTTGGTATAATGTAAATATGTAAGTATAATGTGATTTAAATTTTCATGTATGAACGTGATATAAATTATCATTGACTCTAATTATCGCATGTGATTTAAATAATCACTATCGCATGTGATTTAAATGATCATTGACTCCAATTATTCCAAGACTGAAAAAAATTGACAACAAGGAAGTTAATTATCCATGGCGACCGTTGTTTTAGCATAGAAAAAAAATAAAAGTATCATGAATTAAAAAAATAATTAATATAATTTATATATTTAAAGAATAGTAAATAAGTAAAAGAAAAAAAAATATGATACGTAATTAGTAGAGAAAAAAGTGTATACATTTAAAAAAAAGTGAAAAGAGAAAATAAAATAAATTTTAAAAAACAAATTATTGTGAACATGCAAATGATAATGCTTGTAATTTGTAAATATTTATAACGTGTTATTATTTGACTTAACAAAAAATGCATTGACATTTTTTAAATTGAAACCAACTATTTACGTTAGAACATTTGAGGTATTGTCGCTATCGGAATCACGACTGATGCGACAGGATTTGGTTTCTAAATGAAAGAAAAACAATGGAGTCGCCACCAATATTTATTTTAAGGAAAAATATCGGAAAAAACCTTCAAAAAGAAAAAAAAAAAAGAATCTACGAAATAAAGATTGGATTCGAGAGTCGATTATGTGTAAGGAAGGTATTAACACCTTACAACATCCGTTCTAAAAAAAGAGTTACCTTTAATTAGATGTAAAAATTTAAGTATCTTAAAATTATCTATTTTATCCCTCAAATTTATATATTGATTAGATATTGCTACTAAATAAAAAATTATATATTTTTATATTATTAGCTCGACAGAGATCATCTCTCTGCTCCTACGTATCCCAGGTACAATGGAGAATCAGAAGTAACGTAGTTCTTTCTTATAAAAAATGTATTTGTGAGTACTTTATTTACATTTATTTATTAATGTTGACAAATTAAAAGTATACTTTGGATAATTATGAAATAAACAAATTAGAAGTGCATCTAAAGTGATTATTATTCTCTCTTTTTTTATAATTTAAGTGATAATTAAATTGGAAGTACATCCAAAGTAATTATTAATATTCAAATATTTTTAATTATTAAATTTATCATTTCTCTACGGGGATTTAAGATACTTCAAAAATCAATTTTTTATTATAATCAAATCAAAAGTACATTCGAAGCGATTATTATAAATTCATGATAATCAAATTGAAAGTACATCCAAAGTGATTAATTAAATTTTTTAATTTTAAGTAATGATTAGTTTTAAATGTGTTCTAAACAATTATTACCATAATTAAACCGTTTTAAAATTTATTGTACTAAAAATTTAACATTTTAAATAATAATAATAATAATAATAATAATAATAATAATAATAATAATAATAATAGTAATAATAATAATAATAATAATAATAAGATAATAATAATACTATTTCTTTTTGTTTTTTATAATTTATTGTATTATGTTGTTAAAACAAAATATTAAGCCCAACAACCCATGAAAAATTTGCATATTGCTATTTGAAATGTTTTTATGTTATTTTCACCTTTTTCAGTTTGAGTCACGCATATTTTGAGCCCACTTATCTGTCTCTGCCCATTTTGCTTTTAACCTAAACCTAATGGGAGTCGCAGAGCCGGGATTCGCGAGAGGGGCTAGGGTTGTTGGGTGAGGCGCGCACGGTGAGCGTGGTGGGAAGAAGGTGGACGGG